CAGTCGGCGGGGAAATTTTAAAAATCGTCAAAAATAGAGATGGGCTCGAGAGAGAAGAACATTGCTCATCGTATACATATATATAAGACACACGGGGGCGACGACGACGACGACGACGACGACGACGATGAACTCTCTCGCTAAACGGCCAAAAGGGAAGCGCATACCGGTTCGTTTATTTCAAGATCCGAGGGAGCCTACAGCCGCCCCCTCCGCGTGCCTGTGTCATTTTCTTTCGGCTTCGGGGTCCTCGCACCCTGATCTAAAAAATACGTATAGACTTGCGCATCGTTAACTCAACTATTTGGTACAAAGACGACATTACATTAATACCCCCCGTTTAGATTTTACCGCAATTTTGCAATATGTGTAATATTTATGTATTTATGTTGCGTGTGCACGAAAATGTAAAATCATCGCGTTGAAAACATTGGTTGGCGCTCGATCGAAGAGGGGCAATGCAGTAATTTTTTACGATCGTGGAAAAAAAAAGTTACGCAGTGGGATGTGAAATGTGGACAGCGGATGAAAATGGATTAAGTAACGCTGGTGTACACACGTGCAAAGTGCGTGCGTATATTATAAAACGTAAATCCAATTTATCCAAAGGTGCATATATATGTATACGACTCACGAGCAAACGACTTAATTTGTAATCTCGTTCGGGGAGATGATAATGTAACCTGCGCTCCTCCCTTTACCACCCCCTCGTTTGCTCGGTAATCTCTATGTCCTCCCGACCCCCATTTCCGCCTTTCGCCCCTTGCATGCAGACATGAAAAACCGGCATCTGCATAATCCTCTTTCTAATTGTTTTCCATTCTTCGATCAATTATCCTTTAGGTTTTTGTTGTTCGACAGTCATTCTTCTTCCCCCAGCTCTTACTACACGGTAACTTGGATCAATGAAAATAGAGGCTGCGCTTACAATAATACTCCATGTACGCATATTATAGCAGTTCAGAACTTTTCAACCCAAGGATGATGTGTCGGTGTTGAAACCTGAATCGCTCATCCTTTGTCAAATTAACCGCAAAAATTTACACTACATTCGTAGAAGTGTGGTTTTTCTTTTTTTTTTTTCTTCTTCGGTAACACCAATTCTCGCTTATCAATGCGCGAGTGCCTTTTTTTTCCTACTGTAGACATACCTCACCCGCAGCAGTGACACGGAATGAAGTGAAAAAAGGGTATTTGGAAAAAAAAAAGTAAATACGTACGGCAAAAGCGATTGTGTTGCAAAGAGAGGGGGGAGGGGGAGAGGGAGAAAAAGTACATAAGAACCGTGTGCGTGGCCTAGAGATAAGCTAGACAAGGACGACGGCTACTATATAATATGCTCTGGAACACGTGATGATTGCGCGTTTACAATAAACGAAGGTGTAAGTATTTGAAATCATGCAGTGCCTGGTGCGGATTATATAATTTTTTTGACGGGACGGAATTTAGCGTGCGTTTATATTTAAATTCCCGCTCTCTCTCTCTCTCCCTCATATCCCATGTGTGTATGGTTGCTCGCGACTTTGCGATTTATGAGGTCAATAGTCTCGAGAAAGTGTGTGTACTTGTATATAATATAATGCGAAAGTTTTTTCGCTACTTTTTTTTTTTTTTTTTTTTTTTTCGTTCTTGGAAGAGTCAAGCCGATCGGGATACAGTTCGAGTTCGGGGAAGGCTAAAACATTGTCTACCGGAACTACGCTCGTACACGGTGCGAAAGTATACGCGCGACGGTATATACATCGGTGAAGAGAAAAAAAAATAATGCGCGAGCCTTTACATACAGTGAGTTGGGAGAAAAGTTGCGAGTTCATTAGTTATGTGTTTTTTTTTTATTAAAGACTAAAATCAATTGGTCGTTCAATCGAATTAAAATATATTTAGTAGTCACCTTCATCCTATTATGATCCTTTGACAATCAATTTTCCTCTTGAAATGAAATACAGAGGATATCATATCTTTCCGGGAAATCTCGATACCGAGTTTGGGGACGTTTTTTTTTTTTTTTTTGATTGGCCAGAATAACTAACTATACTCCAAAGAGAAAAAGCGGTGTGCAGGTTCACATGGAGCGATAGTCGAGGCGATAGTCGAGGCGATAGTCATTACATGTTTTTACACCTCCAATAAAAAGAAAAAGAAAAATAAAAATTTGTGACCTTTGACCAATCAAAGACAATATACCTAAGAGTCCAAAAAAAAAAAAAGTATACGTACTACTGGAGAGAGAGAGAGAGTCTTGTGTGCGTTTGCACGTACCACCTCCATTTTTGCATTCTAGTGCAGAAAGGAACGGGAGCATACTACACTCACAGACATGGAAGGAAAAAAAAAAAAGAAAAAAAAAAAAAAAAAAAAAAAAAGAACGAGTTCAGAGGAAAAGCAAAGCGAAGGCGGCGCGTATATAACAAGTATGGAAGCATTCCTTGCGAGAGTGCATACAAGAGAGAGAGAGGGAGCACAGGAATGCCAGAGGCACGTACAAATACCGAGAGGTGCAGTACTCAAGTATCTATAAGGGGTAAGTATATTAGAATGAAATTCGGAGTTGTACCGATGCAGGACTGGATTTAACGCGGGAAGATTTCGCGGATGCGTGAAGAATGTCGGCGCATAGTGACGAACTTCGGACGATTCTTTAAATAATTTTGCGGAGAGGAGGCGACGCTGCCGCGATGTATAAGCAAGTATAATATATATATATATTATACTGTGCAGCAAAAGCAGCTGCTCCGCGGTATCTCTCGCCGCGAGAGCCTCTGATGTGCATGCGAGATTAGCTCGTTACGACGATGGTTTTTCCAAGTGATAAATGGGTTGAGACTCTTTTTTTTTCCCCCAATCCGATGATTTCGTAACTCAAATATACGTGTATATTTAAAACACACTTGTCGGTATTATACAGTTGGTTCAACCGGTTCGAGGATATTTTACACGCGACTCGAAAACTTTTTCGCTGGTACACACATACACCTAGACGTATGGATTAAATTAGACTTTCCTTTTTGTTACGCGTGTCATGTTTGGTTCTCTTTACTATGGGCAAATGGTTATTCAATTTAAACTCCGATGGTCCTTAAACCCTGACATTATATTGTTATACATTACGCGGGCGCGTCGAATCCACAACGAAAAAAGGACGCGTGGGTGTGTTATCGCGCGAAAATGTGAGTACATGCAAACTCGCGGTCTAGAAAAACACACGGGCCATTTCCTAAAATTCACACACAGAGCCGTTAACCCACAAGCCGTTATGAAGCACCGCCACCGAGCTATACATAACGAGAGATTTTCGCAATTTACGGTTTCGTAAATATAATACTTGGACCCGCGCTAGTGTAAACACCGGAATATCCGAACCATGCGTGCAAACAGATTTGGAACAGAGAGGTATATAGAGGTATGTTCGCAGTCGTTTAGAAGGGCGCAGTAATAGATCCCCGATAAAAAGCGCGCACACCCATTCTTATCTCCTTGTTCCCCTCTGCTATCGAAACAACGATCGCGGTGACAGAACCTGATTTGTCGTTGAGGGGGAGGGGATCGTGGGTGGGTTAGTTTGTCGCGGAAAATGAAACGCGCGTAAGTGTGTACCTTGTGTACTACGTGTGACAAACGGCGTGCGAGGTCTAAAAATATTTAGGCATATGAAACGGAGCGTTAAAAACGAGGAATTCCTCTGATGCTCGTCACCGCTGCGTTTTAATGAGAATCAAATTACTACCCTCGAGCGCGTAGTATGGAGTTCACCGGGAATATACGAAACGTATTTTTAACGCTTCTTGGGAAAAAAAAGGTAAGCAATTAATCCAAACTTTTACATACCGAGGCTTTATTTTCGCTGAATTTCATTATTAAAATTTCACCGCGATATCAGTACATTAAATATAGAAGCTTACGTGACGATTGTTGCTGCGAGAACTGTGTACATGTGTGTCTTATTACAAACGAAAACTTATACAGATCGAGATGTAGATTGCGGTGCGCGCGTGTGTCTTTAAATGTATAAAACGTTGTTCGATATGTGCTTTTATTTCTAAATTTAAAGGGTTTCATAAAGCTGTGAACCAACTTGTATTCCGAGTATTAGATTGCATCCGCTACACTTGCCAAAAGATTACATCCGCGGATTATACGTCCGCGAAGCACGTCACGAGCTAAAAGAACATGAATTATTTTTTCCTAAAAAAAATGCTCATGACCTCAGAGCTAAGCAAAATCAATGGCATCTATTTACACTGCTAATTACTCATCGTCGTTGTCACCGACCACGCATCGATAAGCGGCACCGAAAAAAAGGCAATTTCTCTCTCTTTCTTTGTCTTGCAATCGTTATTTCGATTTATCAAATGCACCTGTTTTTCCCTGTATCTTTACTATCTAAATTACAACGTACCAAACATTAAGTTCATTAGTGACATTAAAGTTGAGATTAAATCGCATATTATACTATTATCTATTTGAAAAAAATAAAATAAAATAAAATAATTGTCACCCAAGTAATGACCATCTGTTATCAATGATTTTTTTTTCTTCTTTTTTTTCAACGCGTTTTTCCGAGTATTTTTGGCGACACTCAAGGACGCAGCGCGCCATACGAAGCGAAGGAAGAAAAAAAAAAAAAAAAAAAATCACGAAACCAACTCCCTCTCCCTCCTTTTCTCTGCTAGCATCCATCAAAAATTCCTCCAACAAAACGGAGTCGTGCAAGATGAGATACTACTTCTCTCCTCGCAGACTCGCACGCGCCAAAGGAGAAAAACAACTATACCATTGTGGAGCAAGACAAAAATCGAAACAGCTAATAAATTATCACCGAGATCGGAAAAGGAACGTAACCAGCCACTTCGCCAACATGTAGGAGGAGGAGGCGGAGGTTAGGATGCTCAATAGGTTGCAGAGGCAGGTACCGCTGTACACTCCGCTCTCGCATGGGACACTCATCGTCGGTTGAACGGAGCAAGGGGATAAAAATATATCCATCGCAATCGTCGACTCACCATATAAAGTCCTGACGACGAACACGAGGAAAAAGATCCTGAGGCTGCGCCCGTCCAAGACCGGCAGTCCAGCCAAGAACGCAGCCATTTTCTCACGGCTGCTGCTTTGCTTCTACGTTATATATTATATCCTCTCTTCAGGCTGCTATGTATGTGTACTTGTGCCGTGCTCCTCTCACTCTCTTCTCTTCCTCCTCCTTCCTCTTCCTCGCTTCTCTCCGTATATATCTTGTGTATTCTCTCTCTATACACTGCAGCTGCTGCAGCTCGATAACGGATAACTCGGCTGCTGCCAGTACCTCCTCTCTATTATCTGCTTATGTGTGCAACTTGTGTGTACGAATCGCGAGGAGGAAAGTTATAAATGACGTACGCAAGCACGAAATCGCAAAACAAAACAATACGACCAAAGATACGTCGATACAGGTTCAATGTACATATACACCACGAATAGTATTATTCATTGACCCAAGAAATGATTTGCATGGAGTTCAAACACTGGCGGTCTGCTCGAATGTTTACATCAAGTCCAACGAGCTAATCATCCTCCAGCTCTCTCCCATGTCGACAATAAAACCATCAGATGAGAGCGAGGCTGATAGTTTTCGGAGCTCCTGCAAAATCTTATCGGCCGAGTGCCATTGTTATACATTCCTCGGGCCCCTCGCACATAAATACACACAAACACGATGCCACTCTTCTGGGGTGTACACAATCTCAACGCGAACGAGATGAGGGTGGAAAAAAAAAAACACAAGGGTTTTTCTCCTCGGCTACAACGACAAAACAATAATGTATTCAACGCTGGTGCTCTCCGTTTTCTGTTGTGTAAATGCTCCGCACACTTGCACGTACCGGAGTGCCCAGACAACACGCCGATTGCCGATATCGCCAATTTCTTCGTCTCTGTCTCTTTTTTTTTTTTTTTTTTTTGGAGCAGAGCTAAGTACTTGACGCTGCGCGACTGGTCGGACCGAGCCGAGCGAGAGAACTACTTTGCTCCGTGCTTCGGCAGCACAGTATACAGTCTGTACGAACCGCTTGGTTGTGTGTGTGTGTGTGTGTGTGTGTGTGTGTTGCCGATTCTCCTTTTTCTCTCTCTTCGCGCGCGTATACGTGTGTTCGTCTGCAGCAGCAGCAGAGAGCATTGGAGAACTCCGCACAGATGAAAAAGAAAAAGACAAAAAACCGGAGCGGAGTCAGCTTAGGTAGGTGGCGCTGCAGTAGTGCTCCCTCAGTGATATATATATGAATTAAAGAGAGTGTGGGTGGATGAGTGCGGCTGTGTAAGAGTACGCGCGGTGAATAAGTAGAGGCTGTCTCTCCTTGGCGATGGAAAAAAAAAAAAAAAAAAACCAAAGGAAGAGAAATACTGCGGAAAGGAGAAAAAGAGTAGCAACGATGGTGAGAGAAAAACAATCAAAGCAAGAGATCGGGATTATAGTTATTAAAAATTAACCGGCAGTAGAACTGCAGTGGTGATGAGAAAAACAATTCGATTACTACGTAAGTGAGATTCCGTCAATTCATTAAGGAGATATGAATAAATAAAAATTTCGACTACCCCCTACAAGGACATAAGATAAATATTTCGAACGGCATTTACGCCACTTACTGATGGCTTGGTCGAATTTTTTTTAATTTTCACACGTGCAATGAACAAGATGAGATAACGACAATGTAGCGACGATACGGTTTACCATTAATTTTCCACTCGTCTAAATTAAACAATTAGCTGTTCATACAGACAGTAGCGATAAATCTTGTCCACTGTTGTTTCGCATTCGCTACGAAATTGCCTTGTAATTTTCAAAAAAAGGCGATGACAATTGATACATACACACAGGAGAGACGGTAGAAATCAATCTCGTTTAGCGAGAAGGGATGGTACCTACAAGTGAAGGCGAAAATCCCATGAGTAAATAAAAATCAGGCCGAACAGCAAACATCGTCACCCCCAACGAAAAATCCCTTATTTCCACGCGACACGCATTCACTTATCCGAGTTCATGCATCATCCCAACCGTTCTCCTTGTAAATCGACACTCGAGAGAGGAATCTCGCGTGCGTAATACCTATACTCACGCGCAACGGAAGCTAAAAGGCAATAAGGGATAAGAGAGACAAGAGGTGTGTGTGTGTGTATATATGTATAGAGCACACACGCAAAGAGGGAGGGGGGTGCAGAGAGTAAGGAGGAAAGAAAGAAAAAAAAAAAAAAAGAATAGGAGGAGGCGAAAGGAGATACCGGGAGCCGATACACAGGCTCCGGCCGTTCTGGCCTTTGGCGGGAGAGAACGACTCGTGCTTTCGCCCCCTCGCTTATATATATATTATATACCTACGTATAGGGTAGCCCTGATATAGCCACCATGTATACACGTACTATATAGGTACGGGTGACTCGCTTGCTTTTGGCTTTTGTGCCGGTTGCATGGGGATTATCTGGCTTTTCTTGGAATTTCCGAGGTTTTTCCGAGGATTACCATTTGTGCCCCGAGATAGATGCGTGCTTAATGTTATGTCGTTGCTGGAATACATATTCTTTACAAGGAGCTTTTCAATAAACTTATTGGTCATCGTGTTTTTTTTTTTTTTTTTTTTTTTTTTCATTTATAGGGTAGAAGCTGTGTACGATTAAGCTTCCAAGAAAGGTTAAATTTCTATACGGCTACAGACTATACATATATATGGTCTTGAACAAAAGTTTTTCCATGCTGCAGTGTAACTTTAATGAAAAATGATCGTACTTACCTACAAGGTTGCAAAGTTATAGTGATTACCCGTCAGTCCCTAATCAACGTATAAATTGTTTATTGGTATTTGTTTTTCATGAGAAAAACTGTACTTTGATGTATGCGCACGCTATTGCCGAGAGGTGGAATGAAAAAAAAAAAAAAAAAATCTCGTTGCTCAACAAGTCACGTGCTAATAAGTTCTGATAATAAACAACCGATTTAAATTGTGCATAATATATATACTCTCGTAACGTATAATTGTGCGCTTATGGAGGTGGAAAAGCGCGTTTTCAGAATCAATGACGGGTTGCGTAAATTGAAGCTTTTCCCGGAATCCACTTTGTCCGCGGGACAATCTTTTTTTCAAATGTTTGCTCGGTACATTATATACAAATGTGTTTACTTGATGCACAATCTTTTTTTTCTTTTTTTTTTTTTTTTCATCGTGTAAAATATACACTCATCTGGTTTGTCAACGAATGGGGTCGTTTAATCGCATCACGATGAGTGTATCACAGACCACGTAATATGCAACTCTCATCACCTCAGTCTCAAAGGTGTAAAATCGTTAAAGAAACTTATTAAAACAACGCCTAGGTCGATATATTCGTTCAAGGAAGAAAAGAGAAAAAGAAATAAAAAAAAAATCCAAAAAACCCGTTCAAACGTCATTCCCGTGTAAATAACATCCTATTTTTCATTTGTTTCCTTTTTTTTCCCACCCATGCTATTTGTACAAAAGCACACACAAGCGAGTCACGTACTCGTTTTTTGCCGCGTACATCTCGATGGGTGTACAAGTATTCAAGCAAACGAAGTCAGGTATACGTACAACCATCTCGACGGCTCAAAGCGTCCATACAAGTACAAAGTGAGTAAGTGGTTGTATACGTTTACCCGTACCTTACCAAACTTGGCTGGGATACTCCGGCTAATGGACGCCCGCGTAACTCCATAAAAGTACACGGTAAGTATATATATATATAGACTTGGGCCACATTCGCACGGAAACTCCAAGTGCTCGTGCGTATTTTTCCACCGAGTCTCATTGCACCCTTCTCCCTATATATGTATGTACATATAAAACCGGGTAATCGTTCAATTCCACCTTTCCCGCGTCTTCTCTCCTCCTTTTATTCCCAAAAAAGGACTCGGCGTATACGCGCGCATAGGTGCATTTTAATCAGCAAAACCTATAGAGACTTTACATGCATACAACCATGTACTGCATTTATATGTACATATATACGCGAGCTTTTATATATTATACATGAAGCTCGTGTATATCGCGTGTTGTTCGACAAGCCTCGCTACACGCCGTTTATCCGCATGTTTTGTGCAATAAACACCACAAGTATACATACCTTGTGAATATAGGTGTTTATTTACGCGCATTGTCTATAAAAATGTGTAGTTTTTATGTACCACAACAATGTATTCTATATATGATGTTTCTGGGGTGTAACTCGGTGTAAGATATCGTTCAAAAAAGTCAAAAAAGTCTCCAACGGAGTTGAAACAAAACAAAAAAAAAATGGTTTTATTAACCTTACTGTTTACAAATTGTATTAATAACTTAATATTTATAAATTCAAGAATATAATAGTATATACACATTCCGAAATAACGTTAAACTTCGATGTACGAGCATATAAGCTTTATGCGATAAGTTTATCTCCACGTCCATTTAGAGGTGATTTGATAAAATTCCTCATCTATTAGTTTTGTGATAAAAAAAAATCTCGGCAGATAATGGAAAAAAAAAAAAAATGTTCTTCTCAAGGACACGTCTCTAATGGCATCAGAAATTCATGAAGAGTATAGAAACAAATCGAGAAAAAAAAGCCACGAGGCACGCGCTCGCTATACGACAATTAACATACATGGGCGCGTGTGGCGTATCATCACTAAAAATACATCAACAGTATGGAAGTGACGAAGCTTAACCCATCGCAAGCCCGAGAGATTTCGCAAGCTTTTCGCTCGAAAAAAACACGCGCTCCCTCCAACGATCAGATTTCCTGGAGGCTCATGCCCATCATACGCCATCGGAACTTTTATCGGCGAATTTGCATTAGCGCCACAGCTCAAGCTTTTTGCGTGTATGCCCACGGGTATACCAAAGTCCCGATCCCCACCGGCTGATTAAATCACACCTCGACGCTCTTACACATATACAATCACCCGCTACTTTGCACAAGTAGAACTGTGTGCTGAAAAAAAAAAAAAAAATAATAATAATAATAATCTTTCGACCCGAGTGATGGGAAGGAAAAAAGACGTTCGCGCACCCCCTCTGCGGGTGATGGTTCTCGATCGGAGTCCGCGATTCCGAAATAAAAGAGAAAGCCACCGAGATTTAATGAATCCTCCCAATTTATACAGAGGGTATATTTGTATTATATGTTTGTTGGACCTCGCATCGACGCGTCTTTTAAATACGTGCAGTTAAAGGCTTGCATGGGTATTCATATGTTTCTATTAGCTCTGTATGTTTTGTATATTCTGGTTATTAATAAATAAATTAAAAAAAATAAATGAAAGACCTGTCCAATTTCACGACACGTTTCATGCACCTACTGGTCAACAGCGTCAAGCTCTTTGGACGTATACGTACATCTCCATCAGGGGTAAAAAGCAGGAATATATATATACGCTTGTTTGTCGAAAATTCGATTAAACTGCAGTAAACCCCCCCCCCCCCACGTAACTGTATACATATACAGATGTGTATAGGTGTATGGAGCTGTTGGACGCGTGTATGGGATCTCGCCAAAAAAGATCGATGACGCAAACAGTTTCCTCGATCCGATTTTCTAATCATCGCGCGTCAGGTACACCTATAATGTACAACTCGGGCGTGCACGCCTCAATGTGATCATCATCATCTTCATCATTTTGCTCTCTATACAAAAAGCAATCTCGTTCCCGTTTATCGAGACGTAGGTGGGTATATACATGGCGATCATCATCATTACCCGACAGCTCTCTCTCTCTCTCTCATCCACGTGGATGAGTACATATATATACACATGTATTATATTATATACAGAGGCGCCATCGGGCCGCGACGCCGCGTCGGGATTCCGCGGATTCATTATATACCTCTCTCTCTCTCTATACTCGTCCAGATGTATATGTGCGAGCGCGTAAGCTGCACCAGAGTGGGTACCTGCACGTGGTTCGCAT